TAGCGACATATTGTCGCAGCGCTGCAAGGAGGATATGGTACTTTTGGACGAAGAAGTCACAGAGGAATGTCAGAACGTCGGAGGCCATAAGAGGGGAGCTCGTCCGTGCGGATGAACAATCCAGCATATTGAATTTGACTGGAAGAAGAGCGACACTTGTACCTCTGGTCAGACCGATTTCGCACAACATCGTAGAAGTGACTGGCGATGGCATCACAAGGAAGTCCACCTGTGCGCACCACGTAATGCTGAAACTGGCGGGAGAAGCACTCTCCAGCCACGAAGTATCTGCGGGAGGCGGTGCGGCATCCAAATCCACATGCCACGTGAAGAGCGCATTGGAGCTCTGGAGTCAGCCGATGTGTGATGTCCGGATTGATCCGGTTGTCGGAGGTGTGGCTGTGACCTGGGTAGCAGCAACGACAGTCGAATCCCAGGCTGGGAAAGAAGTCCGAATCCCCTGTCACCTTCCAAGAGCTGGGTCGAATGACCCCATCAGTAAGGATGCCGCGAAGGGAAATGCCAGGACAGTTGTGAACAAAGGTATAGGTGGTCTGAGGTGGAGTCCACTGGAAGTATTCGGTCTTGGTGTAGTCCAACTTGAGGAGCAATACCAGGGAATCGTGGCAGGGGAGTTTTCCCCAAAGAAAGACCGGCGTCTTCTCAAGGATCTGAGGAATGTGGGCGAGGGCGGTAATGAAATCCCCGAAGTGGTCACCCCAAGAAGTCGCAGGAACGCGACGAAGGGGTGCTGGTAGTAAGCCTCTTGGATGGTGGTGTCCACAAGTGTGCGGGGCAAAATCTCAGGAGCTTCGCATTCTTCCCAGCTGAAAGGGCGATCGGGGCCCTCAATGAGGTAGTTGCGGAACTTGTTAACCATGGAAAGGAGGGTGCTCCAGTCTTGAAATTTGTGTTCAAAGATCTCGTACCAAAGGTCGACAGGACCGGTCGGGCGAATGTGAAGCCAAACAGGTGTGGTCCAAATTTGCTTCTGAGGACCCAACTCAATAGCGACCTCCATGATGTTGTCCATGAGGTAGACCAGCTTAGCTGAATGCTCCAAGGAAGTAAAGTCAGGTCTATGCCGAGACCATTGGAGAGACAATCGTGGGGGAGTCTCTGGTCGAAGTGAGCGATTAGGAGATCGATGGGTCATGCCGCCTGAGTGGAAGCTGGAGGCTGGGTGGAAGCTTGAGGTGGGAAGAGGGAAATAGAAAGGTCGGCAGGTTCCGTTGCAACTGGCGCTGGTTCTGGTGCTGTTGGAGGGACAGAGGCTGGTGGAGGGCCGGGAGGTGGATTGGAAGGTGAAGCTGTGGGTAAGGAGGGTGGTGGAAGGTAAAACTGGAATGGGGAAAAGAACGGATTGAACGGGGAGTGGAGAAGAGCCTGTTGTTGAAGGTGATGAGCAGCTTGTTGTTGTTGTTGAAATTGAAGACGGAGTTGTCGAAGTTCCTCAGCCTCGGCAGGAGGGAGGGCCACCGAAGAGTCCCGATCAGAAGGAGGGTGAAGGGAGACAGGAGGCGAAATGGGTGTGCTGTGTGAAGTGGCCCGAGGTGCTGATCGAGAAGTTAGTGTGATGGTTTGCCCGTGTTCTGCCACGATGAGTGCTGGAATGAAGGAATTATCGTTGCAACCGGTGTCTCAAAAACATCCGGTGTTTTGCCAACATGTTCATTTGGGCAACCAAATGCTTCGGATATATCTAACCAATGGAGCATTTTGTAAGGCTGTCCAGGACCAGAAGCTGGCCAGCGTCAGTGTTGAAAACTAACAGAGGGCCCCACAAAAAGTGCCCAGCGCTGATGTCAAGAGTGTGTCTAACAAGAGAGTGTCCCACAAGAGTTTTTTGATGAGAGTGTCTTGCAAGAGTGTCCCACAAAGAAGTGTGTCCTACAGTATAAGAACCCTCACCACTGTGCCTAGTGAGTGCCCCACAAGAGTAGTACCCTACACAATGATTACAAGAGTCTTACCCTGCCCAGGTCCAATGTTGCGCTCTGTGGCTTGCCGCTTTTCTCGGTGTTCGCGTTTGTTTTTGTTGGTTTGTTGGTACTTGTCCAGGGCTTCCTGTGGCGGGGGAGCAAAACCTCAGACTCACGAATTAAACATGTTGATGTCTAAAACCAGTTGGCGCAAGCTACCCATCATATAGCAGCTAAAATGAACAAAACGGGCGGTTTATGTTATTCAGCGTCATCGCTGTTTTGCAAATATCATACACACCTAACATTTCATACATATGAACGTCAAAACATCATACACACTTAGAACTGAAACCTCATGGACCTTGGCCTTCCCCCCCACAAACTGCAAACAAAACACCAAACCAATCATTACATTTAGAGAAAAACTGTGCGCGCACAGGCAGATCCGCAACAGGTTTTTTTCACAGCAAGCAGTTAGCTGTCTGGTGGTCACTGTCACGCAGGCACATAGATTGATCCATGTCAATCTACTGCTTTCGAATCTTCACTCTCCTCCTGCTCCTGTTCCCCCTCTGACTCTGGCAAGTCAGCTGGGGGAACATCCATAGCACTTGACTCTACAGGAATTGGCTCGGGATCTTCAATCGCCGCTGGTGCCTCACCCGCTGGTGCCTCACTATCTGCCATCATGCCCAGCCCAGCTCCTGACACAATGACAATGATACTGTCGTCCAACAAGCCGATTGAGCCAGATCTGTATCTTGGCATGAGACGTTCAAAACACCTACCAAAGGCCATGGATGAACCTGTCACTGAACACCAGTAAAATGGTTCGAAACGTGCGAAATGAAGGCCTTGGGAGTGGTACTTGAGAGTGGCCCGCAACTTTTCCTTAGTAGGGTTCATTGGCTCATGGAACACAGGAACGATAGATAATAAACACTGCAACACAAAACTGAGTCGGGTTCCATGATCGCTTGCACATCAGCTACCTTGTCACCATTGAGGAGGTGAGAGCGTCCGATCTCCTGACACAAAACCGCCTTTGAATAAAGACGATCACAAATGGATGAATTCCCAACCACTCAGCACCAGAATGAACAAATGAGTCTCCCACTGCAATCTCTTTTGATTGCTGCCACATGATATGCTTGCCTCCAGCCTGTAACTTGCAAAATATTCACATTGCGACACGCAGCGCAGAAATTGCGAATAAGCAGTATTGCGGTGAGAATTGTTTACACAAGATTCACAAGAAATCACAAACAATATTCTGCCTTCAAAACTTCATGGCCGTTCACCTTCACTCCAAAGACCCCAGTGCCCTTGTAGTAGTACACAGCACTGACCTTCCTGTCTTTGTCATCCAGGCCTGCCAACAATCGCGACAGCATTTTGCACTAATCACTTTTCTGGTTAAGGGAACGGATCGAAAAATCAAGCCTGACACAGGGCCACTTGGATTCTTCGGATTCGTCTTTCGCCCCTTCGTGGTCTTCTCTTTTGTCTTCTTCCCCCCAGTTATAGGGATGTCCTCATCCCTATTGCCCTTCGACTTGGACCTCCCTCCCTCACCATCTCCCTCCTCCTTGGTTTCGCTCTCCTGTTTGTCTTTTCCCTTCGCCTTGGCCTTCCCCTTCGGTTTCCCCTTCGGCCCGGCTTTCCCCTTCGGAGACCCTTTTCCCTTCGCCTTAGCTTTTCCCTTCGCCTTGGGTTTCGGGCTGGGCTTGGGTGATTCGGAGACTTGGGCAGGTTCTGCAGATTCGGGGTCAACAGCAGGTGGTCCTTCTGAACCCTCAGACTTACCGTCAACCTTTTGCTGTTTGACTGGCTCTGGCTTCGGCTTCGGATTGCGCAAAGCAGAAGGTCGCTTCAGGGGTGCAGCTGGTGGCTTTTGGGCCTCCAGTGTCGTTCAAAAAACATTGACTGACTCAGACCTTTGGTCTGTGTTGTTCTGTTATGTAAATAATAAACATGAATCTTGAGAACAGCAAGCAAACAGGCTGGACTGGCCTGATCCTCCTCCTCTGACGCTGTCAGTTCGCTGACAGGACGAAGGACACCCATTTGTCCCACAACCGCATCTACTAACTAGAAGCTTGCGCACTGAACCTGTGCGGCCAAGAAATGATATGTGAATATTGTTTGATATATACGAGTCTGACTAATAGACTGGCATGCTGGCTCATTCAAAAATTCTAACAGCAGCGCCAATCTTTTGCATGCCACGGGGAACTTCTGTCAGATATATTGTCCTGAATGCTCATGGTTCACGGTTCACCAAAATCCATGAACTGCCAGCTGATAGCTAGGACGTGACCTTCTGCTGCGTCCACTGCGGAGAAAACGCGTGGCTGCGTGCCATTGGAATGAAGAATTAGAAACCAACGATGGCTGATTTAAACCTAAATATAAAACAATGTCGAATATCACACACATACAAACAAACAAACATAGTACAAGCAACACCACTTCCCAACATATTTCCAACATTTGGCACGTTTGCAGGCACGCATCAGCCAAAAGTTTCAAGGCCAGTCAAATGGTCAAGATGAAATCTTGACCCAAGCGTTGGGAGGCAAAACGATCGTCGCTGTAAGGTACAATTTCGGCTTGGTGGCTAGCAACTTAGCAGTTCCTGTACCTGTCTGAGTAATGACCTGGCACACAAGGCCAATCCAAAAACAAGAATCATAACAACTACAAGACATATCATTTGCATTGAATGGGAGAAGCTTCAAATTACAGTGCCTCCCACACCACCTGCGCGATTTTGTTTCTTGGCACCATGTTGAGCTTACCAACGAACACAGCACCAAAGTTGGCATGCCTCCAACAAGAGACAGATTACAGTTCCGCCTACTATGATCATGAAGCCCCATATGAATAAACAGGCAATCTTTTGGCAGCACCTCAAAGTAGGATCCTCCCCCAACGGCGCAGGTCGGAAGCAGTTCGACTTTCCGCTCGGTGGGGCGCTCACATCATACCGGTAGGGCACAATCTTTGGGTCAGCTCCATCTGACGCCTGAGAGAATTATGGCAGGACACAACAATGAAGTCCTGCTATGCGCTTCAACTCAGCCACGTGACTGGTGGAAGTTGCTTTGGAGTCAAGATATGGTCACGAAGTTCAAACTCAGCCAGGCCATTCACGGTCACTGCTTGGTGAATGAAGTCCGCCAAGCTCAACAGCTTGCGCTCAGAGTTCAATACCAAAGCCAAGTCATCGGGCAACCGCCAGGGCAAACAGGCGGTCTCTGACTCACCCATGTTAGTCACGATCTTCTCCTCAAAAGTGCCAGTGTTGAATCCACAAATCTCACATCCACTCAAGGTCATTTTCTCATTCGTAGGGTTCCCAATGAACATCTCCATGGATGGGGTGACAAACAACGATGGCCTGCCCCTGGAGCCAATGAGAGAAGCCAGCCTCGCGTCAAGGTATTTTTATTCCAGGGTTTAATTTAGCACATTGATTCATACAAACATGTAGACAGCCACGCGCACCCCACACCCATACCCAAACAACCAGGAGGAGAGACCAGGCCTGGAAAAGTTGAAGTCTGCGGCGCTGATAATAGGCAGATCCACATCCCTGGTAACATCAAGGGGCTCCTTCCCTCCCTCAATGGTGAAGTCTGGCTTTCCACCAGCACGCGGCGCTGTGGAGACACCACTTGGACCTGTCTCTGCCTGCGCTGCTTCGGGGCAAACCTTCAACACCTCCTCCTTCAACTCGGTGAGTTCCACGTAACTCTTGGTGCCAGGGGTGAACTTGTTGAAGAGACTCTCCGGAAAGCGGCAGACTCCATTGGACCATGCCAAAACCTCTAAATGAGGGTCTGGCAAATCCTCACGCTCGCGCCGCTTGGGAGGCGACTCTGGATCAGCGTCCCACAAATCATAGATGATCTTCTGGAGAGCCGCATCTGCCTCCTGGCCGTCCTTCTCAAACATGAGCCCACAGTACACCAGCGCAGGGTCCCGATTCTTGTCAACAAGAAGTCGCTGAACAACTGCCCGACCCAGTTCGCAGTGCCTGGGACTGCCAACTAAACACCGGTGTTTAGTAGCTGATAGTTGACTAAGCGCCATGATAGTCAACAGTAGCTCAGGTATCACCAGCTGGGACCAAGTTGCTTGTTTGGGATCACGTCAAGAAGCACCACGGTGTCGTCTGGGAGGAAAGGAACATCTTTGAAGAGTGCCTTGACAATCTCGCTGAAAGCTTTGATCCCCTTCCTTAATACAACACACATGACAAACACAAGGATACTTCCAATATCCCAGCAGTTTCTGCTGTATGAACGACTATTTCCTTTTAGGTTTTCAACCCAAACAACAATAAAAATTACGCAGACATGATCAAACACATAACTTGCCAACATGTGTCTGCTCCACTCGCGATCCAGGCGTTGGCCGCACCTCTGCATCATAGCCAATCATCTCAGCAATTTTGACCAGTGGAACTGGACCAATTGCTTGAGACACCCACCCACTCGAGGAAGTCCAAACGTTCTCAGTCTGGGTGCTGGATGTAGTGGAGAAGATGGCTTGCTGACAAGGTCTGCGCTTGTCGTTGCCAGCCGAATTGGGCTTGGAGAACATCACGGAAACGGTGTTGAGGACATCCAAGCCTCCACTGGCCAGACTGTCTTCCAATGATCTTCTGTGCTTAAGCAACGCTTGCCAATGGATGGCAGCATGTTGCAATGGGAGCAATGCGAATGCAGCATTGGTGGGCCCGAGGTTCGCAATAGACTTCACAACATTGAGGGCATTCTGGAGATAGGTCGCGTTAGAAGGCCACACTGAGCAATCTGCCATGGCCAAAACCAGCCTTGTTGTCCATAAGACTTGAACATAACCACAAACAAAGTAGATTTTGTGCTTCAAAGCGCTACGCCGTCTACCAGCAGCCTCCTTGCTTTTAAACAACATAACAATTAGCTAGCCCAGTGGCCACCCCCAGTAGTGACACGAAGGCTGGGACAACTACACTCCTTCTGCCTGGCTACGTTCGCTTGCTGCTGACCTTGGAGAGGAAGCGCCCAACCTCTGGCATGGCATTGTTCATGGACTGGTCAACCCGAATCAATTTGCAATTGTCCTCCATCCATTGCTGGGTGAAAGCTTGCCCCTTCCTCAGGGAACCATGGTGAGCACATTCCAAATGACACAGCAGCTGTAGCCGTGAAAAACAATGACAAGCAAACGGCCTGTCAGTACATTGTTACGTGTTGCCTTGTTTCAAGGTTTGTGAGTGAAATTGTAGTAAATATTGAATCTTAGATTCTGCTGACGCTCCCTGAGGTAGGCTTGATCCTTCATCGATTCCAAGGCCTCTTGTTCTTTCCCTTGGAGGCGTGCCCGTAACACATCAAGGTCTTTGTTCACTTGATGCCGGATCTGCTCAAGTGTTGCTGCGTGAACCTTTGCAGCCAGCTCTGCATTCTTGGTTTCCACTTCTTTCTGCACCCGTGCTTCCACCGCCACCACCACATTCCTTAAGCCAGGCATGAGACCCTTGAGTTGGGATGATGGCTGACTGACTGGGAAGATTGTAGCACGCTGATTCACTGAATGATTACCTGTCAAACCCCAAAAGTCTTTCGTGTGTTCCACTCTAACACGGCATGGTGATTGAAAATTTTATGGCTTCTGAAGTCTTGTGGCCACTAAGTTGGTGGGCGTTGTGCTAACAAGAGTCTGCACAAAGGAAACATCCCGCAGGTTGACTGGCGGAACAGTGGATTGCAGCAAATGAAGAATCTCCGGATCTTGGAACCCACTCATGAATTGGGCCTCCAGATTGACCTTTGCGTTCAAAAAGTCACTCTTTGGCACCTTCTTTTCAAGCTCGTTCATGAGATATACAAAGAAGCCACTTGCAGAGTGAAGAGCTACTGCGTCCTTGTACAGCCACTGTGTCCTCAATTCAGGAGGCTTCCTGTCCCAGTCCGCAATCAGCCGCGAGAGGAAAAGCTTCACCTTGGAACAGGCCAGTTTCAGAAGACTGCAAACATCCGAAAATAGATGATGGCCTTACCTTGAACACCGAACAATAGAAAAAAACAAAGAAGCAACTATTGCAGCACAAAACTACTACATAATTCCAGAATCAAGACTCAACAACGTCATCCTTGCCGTTTGTGAGTTGCTCACTCCAGGCGTCATACAAGCCTGTGCCTGATGTAAAACCTTTGTTGAAAAGGTTCTTGGAAATCAGGTCGTGACTCATCCATCGACGCATTCCGCGAGGCCTCACGGCCTCCCGAAGCCATTGGGTCACCTCCGGCGGAACCCTGTCCTGCAAGTTGCTGACAGCGGTTGCTTCCTTCTCACCGATGTTGAAAGCCCTCATGATCTTTGTAGAGTTGGCCCATTCCTTGGCGATGCCGATTTGCCAGCAGAACCCTCAACACTCTCTACCAAAAACTGCCACAAACATGATACCGTTACCACAGGCGGCGACCGATGCATGAAAATCACACGAAAGTTGTTTGAACACCAATTCTAGTTACAGAGAACTGCAAGGCAAAGGTTTCAATTGTTGCACGTTTGGGTATGGTATTATTCTTTCAAAGTAGACAGGCGTTTGTTGTGCTCACAGTTCCTGAGTCACTCGTCCTCTTGCCCGAACCCTACTTGGGAGCAGCTGTGGCCTGAAGTCCCAAGTCACTTCCACGCTGCAGGCGTGGCAGGAAATCTATTCAGGACTTTGCATTGACTTTGTAAAATCCAGAAGACCACTATGGAAACTACATTCAACAGACTCAACAGGCTGGATAAAGCTTGTTCTTACAAGCCACCTCAAACGCAGCTTCAGCGCTCTGCTTGGTGGCTCGCTGAATGATCTCCAATTGTCTCAGGAAGTTGAATGCGTTTGGAGCCTTTCTCGTTGCGGTGCTGGCTAGGCTGATGCCTGCCAGAATGATTGATAACATGAAACTATTGAAAAGAGATAGAGATGCTGTAGCTACTACTCCACCTTGCACTGACAGCTGGCGGGCTGTCCTCGATTCGTATTGACCATATCCTTGACGCTGTTGAAGCGGGCTACCGTGATGTACACAGTGTTGACCGTCCCCTGTTTGTTGTCACACTTAGACTTGACTCCGGATCGAAAGCTCCCGGCAATTCTTCTGTGCGTCAAGAGCTTGATGACAGGCAAAAAACAGAGAGAACCCACCTTGCCTTGAACTCTTGGGTCAAATCTTCAAGGCTCACCTGAAGGCACCTGATCGCCTCCAAGCATATCAAACATGCTACGGATCTCCTCCAGCCCTTCACATAAGCCACACTGAATGGGCCCAGCAAATCGCCTCAACACATTGCTTAACAACACTCTCTACAGGCCCACCCAACGCGCGAATCTGATTCCAAGTACAGTATATCTTAATTACTATACAGAAGGACGCGATCATGTTTACTTTGAGGGCAGAACCGTGCAGCAACGGCAAACCCTTGTACTCTGAGTCCATGAAAGCACTGTCTGGAGCTGTCACTGCTATCCGCTCTGTGCCAGGGATGGCACTGTTGGTTAAAAACCTGAGTGCCACATCGAATTGTTGATTCAGTCTAGGACATACCATAAAACACATAACTGCAAAAACATCAAAACCATCAAACAGAAACCCCTCAGTCAGTATGAGCTCAATGAGGGTGAGGGTTTCCTCTGGTTCGGCGTAGCCTGCAATGCCAAAATCTGTCCTGGAATGATGACACATGAAGGGTGCCGGTTTATTGCCCAAACAGTCTTGAAACATCGTGAGACAAACAACATTGTCCGGAATGAGAGGTTCCAGGGACGAATGCGATGTTCTCCACTCACAAGCTCCGAAGCATACTCGACCCTGAAGCACCCAGCTCCATGTTTTCACAGTGCACAAACAAATCAAAGGTGTTCTACTTGCAAGAAATCATCATTCAACCTCAGGGCCCGTCAAGCAAACAAACCACTGGCCTGGAGTCTGGCGGGAATGTATTGTCAATCCATTTGGCAAAGCTCATCAAATCGTCCTGCCAATAATTTGTTTTGAAAAGCGGGGCCCAATCAGAATGACGCAAGCAGGGCACATCAACGTCCTCCCAAAGCATAGCAAACAATCCAGGCTCTTTGCTAAAGTTTTCTGGGTGAGACCTTGAAATCCTAATGCCTTACCGATACAGGAGCCTTTTCTATTTGCCCGTGAATCTCCAGGGCTGAAACTTTGGAACACTCCTGGGTCTCGTATTTGTTCATAAGAAAGCGATCAGGACCCCCTGCTGGAACGACATGCTCACGGAACCTTGGTGACGACAGCTTGATCGTTCCAGAGAAAAAGAAGAATCAGCTTCAAAACAGACCGACTGGCAAAAAGTTATTAGATCAAAGCACCACGAAGTGATTTGGGTGACATGCGCTGGCTGGCTCTTAGCCTCCTTGGAGGCTGGACCACCTTGTTGGCCTGACTTTCGTTTCTTTGGGGCCATGAGGCCTGAAAGACTTGAGCCAGACGTCAGCCTGTCACAGCAGATTGCGCCAGGAATTAAATGTCTTCTTTGACGTGCGGCAATCACTCGAAAAATCTTTAGCCTACCTCCAACACCTCTCAAATCATAAGGTAACCAGCACTCTTTGCGGAACAGCGCCAGTTTAGCGGCTGGAAGGTTAAAGCTCCAACAAAAGCCAACTCAACACCTTTTCATAAGTCCCCAATGCTGCTGCATAATCCGGGAAGGAACGAAAGGGCTTTGTAACTGTAAGCCCTTAGCAAGCTGACTCTCAGGCTCACCTGTCCTGACGCTCCAAGAAGATCTTGATGTCTTCGAACGAGCACTTTGCATGCAGGAGTGAGTCATGAAGGTTGATACTAAGGTTCGCTAAAGAAGGATCCCACAACCATTCCGACAACTGGTTGTCAACTCGTTTTTCAAAATGACCATCTGGCTAGTATCCAAGGCACTCAAGGCTGGCAGTCCCAACCTCCCTGGCACAGGAGTTACCCCGAGGCTTGCCAACGAAATGGTGGCCACATCGTCCCACGAACCATCTCGGGCCTTGACCCGTGCCTGTGTCAAGACCACGCCCAGATCTATCACTGACTCGCCAATTCCTGATATTCCGAATCGCAGCAGCTTGGTACATGTCTCACGGACGTTTTCGGCACTGTCCGGGTCCCTCTTGCAAACCTCGGCAAGGAGCGAAACATCCTGCTTATTGACCTGCGGCATGACCAACCGTGTGGCAAAATCAAAGCTGCGATGGATGTGGCCAAAACACCTGAGCCTGAGCCTCAAAAAGTGACACAGTGAGACAAACGCAGTTTTCTGTCAATGATAACCGCCGATTCAAGAACCTTGAGTTCAAGCTGACAGCAAATACTCTGTCAAACTCAATTCGAGGCACTCTATTTTCACAGTTATTCTCTCTCTCCCTCCCTCTCTGCCAGCTTGGGAGCTCCCAAGGCCCACAAGTGAAACTGGTGTCTGCTTAGACACTGACAGCACCACCGCCACCTTGATCATGAGGTAGCAGCACCTTGTTGTGGGGCCACGATGGCAAAACGGGGGTAAGTTGAGGTGTCCGGCAAAGCGTCAAATGGGCCAAACAAAAGGTGTTTATTATCCTGCACACCTCAACAAAAATCCGCCAACAGATTTGCACCACAGTGTTGTGACTCATGACGCCTTCTACTGATTCAGATTGCCAATCAGTGGTTAAACAACTTGCCGCTTGCGTTCTGCAACTGGGTTCTCCACTGGGAAGTTCATTCGAGAGGCCTCCAAGCAGCAAATCTCTCGCAGAAAAGGGTTGTTGTTCCAGGATTGTTGCTGAACCCAAACTTCACCACACCCTGGGGCAGAAAGTTGAATCTTCAACGTTGATTGGAAAAAGTCTTGGAGGATTGAACGCGCCCATTTAGGATGTTTCTGACCTTCAGTCGGGAGACTCCTACCAATTGAACAGCTTGGCCCTGTCAAGGTCCCTGTAATGGCTCATTGTTTCAAACCGGGTCAAGTCCCTAACACATAAATTGCTCCTGGAAGGCATCACGCTGAAACCAACTGTACATAGTGCTGTTTGCCAGCTGGATGGGGGCATTCAGAAACTGAAACTGAAGCCTTTGACGCCAACCCCAGAACAAAAAATCTGCAAATTGCTTGTCACAGAACCCAACACTGCCTGGCCCATCAAGCTTTAGAGAAAACATGACATCCGTGAGGTCCAAAACGTTGGACATTGACATACACAAAATTCGACACTGTGGTTGTCAAGAGCTCTGAGCTGTTAAAATCCGACACTTTGAGAACCCAAGAAATGCAACAGCACTTTGCTTGGATTCACCGAACCAAAATCCGACACTTTGTCCCAGACAAACTCAAGGGGGCTCAAAGTGTTGAATCCGAGGTGGGATTCGACACTTTGGCCTGGATAAACCTGGCCGCCTTCCCATTCCTTTTTTGTGAATATGTAATCACATGTCCCTGTCCCAGGCCAAAGTGTCGAATCCGACCTCGGATCCAACACTTCTCGTCCATCAAGCCTGCCACACAAAGAGTGTCGAATCCAGAAGCTGCCGAGTTTGACCCCACAACATGCGCAGAGCCCCGTAAACTACGCTGCCGCACCCAAAAACCGGAACGAAAAGGGTTTAGGATCACGACAGACAAGGATTTGACAGCTTACAAAAACTATACTCTGACTGCCTCATTCAAACAGTGGAACAAAAGGATGACAGCCAACAAGGTTATTTACTACGCTGCTGCACCCGGGACCCATAAACCGGAACATGTTTTCTTTAGTAGCTAGGTTCATGATTCGAAGGACTCCACTTGGACAATAAATCATTTTGAGGCTGGCACAGGCAACCACTGATGTTTCATTTCTTGAATCAAAACGGATCGAGTTTGATGGTGAAAGCGCTACATTTTTCTCCAAGTCGCACAGCCACATGTCCCTTAACTTTGCTAAGTGGACACGTTGCTCAATACCCTTTAGGCATTGGGCCAGTGTGCACGGCTGCCCAATAGAAGAGTTCAAAGAGAATCAAGCGCCTGCCTTAACAATCTTTCTTGGTCGGAAACAAGACTGCCTGGCAAGGCTCCCCAAGCCTTTTTGTGACTGATGTGGCAAATAATAAACACATACAAACTGACGTCACAGTTAAGCCAGAGTATCACAGGAAAAAACAAACTAACTAACAGGCCAAAGCCAGCGCAGTCAGGTCCTACCGCTTTCCAACCAACTTTGCAGCTGCTTTTTTGATGGACTTTGTGGCTATAGACAAAGCCTCAGCCCATGGAACGCCCTGACTCCAGGCTAATGCAGCAGCTTGAAGCGCCATGTCCTTCCGAGCCCCCACAACATAGTCTGCACCTTCTCGAGCATTATTTTGCTTCTGCAACCTGGAAAAAATTTGGGGCACAAACCCCACCAAAAGGAGCGTTGTTCACGTCACTCTTCTTTTAGAAAAAATAAAACAGCTAGCTTGCAGCCACAGAACTTCAGAACATTGGGGGCTGGCTCGAAGCTCGTCGGTCTTTTGTCGCCCAGAAAGAACCGCTTAGGCCCCTGGAGGTTGCAACACCTAAGATCGAATCCCAATTTACTTGAAGTGTCAATCCTTTGTGAGGGCATACTAACTAGATGCAACAACTTGAAAGCAAATAATCAACAAGAATGTATAAATCCATGGCCATACCCAATCAAGCGTCGCAGAAACGTCTAGCAAAGGTTGCCGCTCCAGGGTGCCCGTTACCCACGCGTAAAGGAAATTCGCTGCTTCATGAAGTTCGTATTTGCGCATGACTGGCAAGAACTTCAGAACATGCTCCCTGTAGTTGTCAGTAATTGGGGCCCGCTCAGCAATACCTGTGAGCTGGTACCATCCAAGCGTACTGTCATTACCGAAAAAAATAGTTTGCTTTCAACCAAAAACAACACAAGGGGCGCCCATGAAAGCAAATCGCCTGCCGGAATCCCTTGTGGAAGCCGCGCTTGCATCACTTGCCAAGGAAGATACAAATGGAAGGTTTGGAAATTTGCGTCAGCCATCCACTGTTTGGTCCTCACATTGAATCTGAGGTGTCACCAAGTCGAGCTTGTCATATTCATTGGGTTTGCCAAACACTCAACTTCAAGAAAGACAAACAAATGAGTTCACCTAGCAAGAGAACTGAGGGTCTGAAGAATGACATCGCGAGGGTGTGGAGGCAAATGCCAGAGGTCATCCTGCACAATGGAATCTGGACCTAGGAGGGTACGGTGGACGCCAACATGTAGAATCAGAATATCAAATAAAATAGGTTGAATAGTAGCCAAATTCAGAAGGACAATGACTCGTGGGCCATCCTCTCAACGTTTGGAAAGTTCATGAACAATGAATGCGCCAAGGAGCTCAAAGACTCCCTCCGCTGCATGTGAAAAACATGGGCCGCGCCCCGGCCACCCATGCCTTTGACAAAGACCGGCATTGCTGGTGTCATGAACCCCTTCCTTGGAAAAAGCAGAAACACGAACATTGGACTGACTGACTTATGTCTTGACCAAACAATTCCGATGGTTTTAATCCAAATGCGCCCACACCAACCAAGGGAAGTTCAAAGCAGCCTGCGTTGGCCGATTTGGTTGGCTTTAGTTGGAAGCAAACCAAAGCCATCACTCGATTGTAACATAAAAAACCTTCATTTTTTTGCCAAGCAGTCGCCAGCTCCGGGTTTGGTCCAGCAAAACAGCATGGTGCTCGCTTTCATGTGGTCTTTTCATGGCTGAAGTCTGCCAACAGTGAATGGCATCCCTGAAATCGGTCAACGTCGATGCCAGGCGAACTCGTGTAGACATGAACCTGGCTAAATTGCCAAATTCTTGGTCTACGTCTTCGTGACTGTGCCCCGATCGTAACGATCGGAGCGATGCGCTTTTGCACACGCCATTGGCCACAATGTAGCATAGGTATTTCAACATGTAATTATTCTTACACTCCCGAGGAGTGTTATCACACTGCACCACATAGCACAATTGATCCAGCTGCGCCCCTTGTCTCTGGGCCAATGTCATGCTGTGGGCAAGAATTTCGATCATCGTCGTGGCATCCTTTGGTAGCTCTGGTGGGCTGATTGTCAGTAAGGTGTTGAAACCATGACAAATGGCCGCTGTCACGTGTGCCCGCCCTCTCTGACATTTGTTCAAGTCCTTGGTGCGGAACAGGCTGCTTCTTGGAAATGCAAACTTCGCTTGATCCATGCTGTCGATTATTGTCACCAACTCGCCACTCTGCATCCGAGACAAGGATCGTGACTTCCAGTACGATAGTCGGTCCTGATATTGCGCGTCCAGGTGCTGAACGTACAGCGCCTGTTGCGCGCTTCGAGCCTTTATGTGGTGGGAGAGGTCCTTGACAAGGAGTTTGTGTTGGATGCATTCGTTGCAAATCGCATGACTGCTGTATGGGCGAAACCGAAGATTCGGAAACTCGGACCGCCACGTTCGCCAGAACGTGGCAAAGCCAACCTTCGCCCCTTCAGGCTCAGAAATGCAAAACTGCTCATATATGTCTTTCATGGAACCAGGCGGCAAGTGTCGCACTTCTTGATTCTTCAACTTTTCTGGGTTTATTCTAATCGAACGGAAGGTTTGGCGACACTTGGTCTTCTTATTCTCGCCGGACTTGCCCACGTTTTCTCCATAAGCGTCATGGAACTGGTGCTTCACAGTGACATCAAGTTCATATCCATGAGATAGATCGGAGTCACCCAAAGTATCTCGGAAGTCTGGCAGGGTCTCAGCCTGTGATGTGTAAATTTGTTCCAAAAACGTCACAACCCGACCCTTGCTGCTCTCGCCTGTCATGTCAGCTTTGGGGGCACGCAAGTACCGCATATCACACGGTGGACCCTGCCGTCCAGCTTCCACAGCTTCCCGTAGTTTGCCGAATCGGTGGCTACCTAGGATTCACCCCATGTGCTTCATTGGACTCAATCTATGGTTGTATACAACCATCTACAAAAAACAATAGTAGTTGATGCAATCAGGTGATCTGATGTGGCCACACAAAAACAGTAAACATGCTCGAGCAATGGAAGTATTTGGCCGTTATGTGTGTGCGCGTGGCCTCCCAAAATCCGACCAAATCCCGGCACCGTGAATCACTACTATGCATAATTGAGCGAGTGGCCTAAGGCATGTAACCGCTTCCAAGCACGCAAGCAAACCTGCACATTAAGGATAGTCCACCTTGGAGGCACACCCTCATCCCGAGGTTCTTCCAGGATCCCTCGAATTCTATCAAAGGCCAGCTGGTCCTGATCCAGCTTGTCAAGTCCTACCCAGTCATCCCGAAATTCTTTCAGCTCTTTGAACTTGGACAATGACTTGAACTTCTCCAAGCACCGGTGGTTGCATTGAACACAAGCCTTTGCTAGCAAATTGCGCAAAGAATCCTCGCTGGACAGCTGCTTCTTGAAGCATGCGGACGCCTCCTCCCGTTTTCGCTTTGAACTCTTGCGCCGTGAGCTGGCTTGAGGCACAGAAAGTCTTGGCGTGGACTTGCCAAGGTTCTCACCACCCTCATCCCCAGACTCTGTCAATTCGTCCACTGCAGCAAAGCTTGACATTTATTGGCACCATTGAGCTCTCATCCATCACTTCGAACAGGGACTTGCTGACAACATGGCGCCATCGATCAAGGTTAAATTGGCACACACAAACCCTGAAACAAATTCAAACGGTGGATGGGAGGGAGTGGCCGGTTCCAACACTTTGCGCCACCAATGTGTTGCTGGCAACCCCTCATGAGGTTTCTTGTTTGCTTGCTAATAGGAGTTTTGTATGGGTGGTATGCTTAAATCGCAAAAGCCAAGCGATGTCTGCAGACGATTAAGACCATTTTACAATCAACTTGATAACACAAGTGACGGATGAGCCTGACTGGGCCCCTATTCACTTCCAGTCTAGTTTTGATTGCTCAATGGAAAGCAGTTTTCGGATTATCCAAAAACAAGTGAACATCCAAGCTTGCAGCGTCACCCAAGCGATGTTCAGCGCGCCAAAAAGAGGAGCCTGAACGCTATCAGAGGCCGCATCGAACATACAAGGACAGCAAATGTTGTTGACAGGGTCATTGACAGGAAAGCGTGTCAGTCCCAAGTCCCCAAACATTGACCATACCCGCCCACTTTGCCTTGAGAAGGCAACATTTTGGCCACGTCCATGGCAACCCTCAATGAACATTCATGACTTTTGCCACTGACTGTGCTGCACACAGAGAATGAGAGAGAGAGAGAGAGAGAGCGTACCCCCGCACAAGTTCCATCTATATAGTTCCAACACACTGAAATGATGGCACTGCCTTGCAAACCTCTACATGTGGACTCTGGACCTCATAGCTGGCGGACATCCGCAAGTTCAAGACATCATTGCCAAGCCAGTGCGACAGAAGGTAGTCAGAGAAATAAACAGAACAACTCACTGAAGTTCACTGCAACTTCGTTTGGCTATAGTAGCGGCTATAGTGTATCGTGATGTCTGGCTGCTGAAGTCGCATGCCCTGATCTGGAGACCTTGATCGGTTTGAACGCAGATTCCAATCCCCTCCCCAAATCATAAACTAGAGGCCCTATTCTCGATCTAGTTCACCCTTCACAGACTGACCTTGGGCGGGGGCTTCCAGCTCGGACGGCTCAGCTTCATGGCAAACAGTGGGCCTCACAAAAAGTAGGCTTACAGTAAATCTTCGTTGGGCAGGGTTGCAAAAAAACTCTTTGAGGCAGCGTCCAAAATCGACTGGACTTGCAGTCCATCAAGTTAAAGATATAGGGTCTGCCTCGGTCGGTCAAAAAGGGCCACATGTGAACATGCCGACTGGTCCCAACTTGAACCATATCAATCAAAGTCTCGTAGCAAGGCTCTGGAAAAGGGAAAACTTCTCAGAGCATACTTTGACAATCGTGCATTCACGTTCTTCCTTGTGGGTCCTACAATGATGGAAAATGGTTTAATGCTATCTACAATTTAGCACAGCAAAGCGACAAACCACACTGCAACGTTCATTCATTGACTGGGAGTGTCCTGAGTGTGCCAATGTCAATGATTGGCTGCGACACTGAAGTCTGAACCGGATCCAGTTCAACCATGAACAATGTGGTTGTACAATCCCAGTTGGTGGCCGCCATACGGGCCATGGATTGGGGCGTGTTCCACTCAGCAAAAATCTCAATCTTCTTGTGGCTTGTGTCAATCACAGCCAACTGGTCTTGAAATAGAATCCTTGGTGAACTGGCAAAAAGTACAGCAAACATTATTCCATTTAATGCATGACTCCCATACTGCCGGACACCAACTTGGTCGATGTCTCCCATCAGGAGCACAGTTTCACGAGAGCCCTGATCACTCAGAACGGCCCTGGAAACCTGTCCAAAGTCGAAGACGACTGAATCCTCTGCGGTGATCTTAATCAGAAGGTCAATGTTCTGGGCTCGACGATCTGCCCCATTGTCGGCTTCCACTGAAACCACAGTTCCCTTCACAGCCTGCTTCACAAAACTGAACGCCTTCATTAAGTCCCCCATGGGTTCAAACAGGTTGCGCCTTGAACACCCCAAGTGACAGAGCCCAAAAACTGCTGTCACTGCTGCCATGGTCCATATTCAGCCCGTACATAATGCCAGGTTAAGGGCACTTACTCTTTGCAAACCAAAAGAAACCCAAAACAACATTTTCACTCCACAGCCTTGGGTATCATTCAACGGCGCTGGGAAACAGCGAGAGCAAACCCAGTGAAGCGAGAGGGTTGGCTTGCACCAACCAATTGAACACACTGCGTGGAGTCACAACCATCAACACCAGGCTAGAGTAACTTTGAAGTCACGTTCAAAAAATCACGCAGCATTCCGAATTAAACAGTAGGTAAAAGGACATTGCATGGACAAAGTCTACCCCTTTACACATCACCCAACTGGCAAATCTTTCCAAGCTTGCCAAATGCGGTGGCTGCCATAATTGGAACCACACAGTTGCCCATTGCTTTGAGCCGCTGCGCGTCCCCAGCATTCCGGGATTTGGCCAACCAGTCCTTCATGTCAATGTGGTTCAGGTGGTTCCAGGCCAACTCCTCCTGGAGGTTCACGTTCGGCAGGGAGAGGGCCTTGGCAAATCCAGCTTGCAGCTGGGGAGGGGATGGGAAAAGAAATTGAGACACTGGCTCTGTCACGCTTGTGAGCCAGGATAAAGACTCGGGCACGACCAGCCTCAGACTCGTTTTCTAAATCATTCAAATCAAAGACGGTTTTTGTTCTTGGGATCCAGCAGCAAGTCCGCAGTTGTCCAAGCTCACTGTCACCCACTTCATATCCATCTGACGCCGCCGGAACTCCTCCACTACAAAAAGGAATGTTGAGCATCTTGCTTCTAGGCTAGGTCTTTTCAGCTAACAAACAGCCTTCACGACATAGTTCCACAGTGCCCTGCACTGCTTCTGGGAACTCAGGAGGCCCTTCACGTTCTCCAACAGGATGATCGAACTCAACAAAGCCAGCAGTGACTGAGTTTGAGAAAGTGGCAACTTGTTCAATGTCAATCTTGAGGCTGAAACCCATTTGGCATCTTGTCAAACACATTGAAAACTTCGCGAATGAGGCCAGACCGGCCATCAGTCAGGCCTCCCTGCTTCCCTGCCTGGCTTGTTCCCTGAAGGCCGGCGGTCGCAAACATGATTCTGAGAACTTCGGACTGTAACAAGTAACACACACGCACATATGTTCTGATACACACGCCTGGCATGGAAATCCTCCCAACAAAGCTTCTGCGTGCTCAGCGGCCATCGTTGGTCGATAGCCCCGAACATCCGGGATAATCTCACACTTCGGCAAGCAAGAGTCACTCATGCGTGCCCTAAGCACTGACGAACAATGCTCGTCACATTCCACCTCAACCAAGAGCAAAATAACATGACAACGCCGAGAGTTGGTTTGTTCCTCTGCACTACGGCCCAAACCATCTCGGTAACCTCGAAGAACCTGGCAGAAATGAAGTTGAATCAACACATCAAAGTTGAAAAGTTAAAAGTCGTACATATACTCAGATGTGTGAATGGTTTCGGACTTGAAGCATGGGTTCACTTTTTAGCTTCTCAAGCCGATTTTCGTTTCTTTGGAGACTGAACCGTTGCAGCAGAATCTCCAGCCCCAGGCCCAGCAGCTGCTGAATTGGAAGTTCTGGACAGGTCAACACGGCTGCCTTCAACCTGCAAAGTTGGTATCCACCTCTAGTATTGAGTCAGAACATCAAATACTTACTGCGCAATGAACCCAAAAGTGTGGGTGCCTGCGAAGCGGATGGGGTGGCACAGGCAACCCAATGATTTCGATCCCACATCCACCTGAACAGGGAACACAGGTACTACTTACTAATCTTCAAACAGCCAACCATTTGCTTTAAACCTGTTCTCAGGATGGGACACTGAATCCCTCCACCGGCAGGTAATTAGGCCACTACTCGCAATCCTGTCCACCACTTTTCACAGACATGTGTGTGAGTGTGTGTGTGTGTGGTTGAAATCATCTCAAAACACAGGTGTGTGAATCCCTGGCCTGATTTGATTGATGCCAACAGTCCGCACAATCAGGACATTTTCTGTGGGTTCACCCACTTCATCCCGGCGTCCATCAGTGTTCATCACCACTGAGTCGACAGTAAGTCAGAGAATGACAAATGTAGTGAGTGAAAGACCCAACTTTTCAATCCTACTGCTAACCAAAGACTTTGGCCCACAAATGGACATTTGCTTTTGCCATTGTTTTGTTTCTTTTAACTGACCCTGTGGGAGCGCTTGCTTGAAAGCGCATTGGGCAAACAAAAAACACAAAGAATTGATGGCACGTGTGCAAAATGTGCCTGCTAGAACACTGCAACCCAGTGGACTCTTCATCACTGAGCGGTAAACTTGCCAGAACCACGGCCTCAAGCCTAACTCCAATCCGCCAACTCCTGTGAACAGGCTGATCGCAGGTATGCGCTTGACCTGGCAGGCTAAGTGGGTCAAAGAAAGCGAAATCGAACTGATCTGTTAAGGCCTCAGGCTGAATTGGGAACATCTGGTTGACAAGGTCCGGGGATACGGCGCCGCTCTGTGGCAAGGTCCAGTTGATGGGGAATCCTGGAAAAAAGTCATTTTGACAAGCCGTCGCACCCTAGCTAGACTAGACCTTAGAGCTGCAGGCCTGAAAACCATTCAGCGGCACACGGAGCAAGGAAGCGGCCGTGGTGTGTCTTCAACCCCCCCATTGCGGAGCGGTATGATTCTGAGTGGGCGATCTGGTTCGCCAAATCCTGAAAGCAACAACAGACTTTGTCAGTTTACTATGTTGAAAAAAGAACTTGGCCCCAAGCGCTGATCCCCCTCTGGCTCACTGCGGATTGGGTGACAGTAGTGGAAGCTGAGAATACTCCTTGACCAGCAAAAACTACAAAATCAACCATCTGTCCTGGGTGGGGCCCTGGCTTATAGTACCCCACCGGCGAAACACCTTCGCGCCAGTGAAAATCTTAGCGCCGTTGTCCTTTCGACCTGGTTTGTTGCGAGACACCTGGGCCATGAACGTTTAGCGAGACCACCAGA